GAATTTATATTTGACATTTATCAAAATAAAGTCAAATATTATCTACTGTATCTGATTATTTTCAATGATAATTGAGTAAATGTTGTTATAATTAGATATTGCAGAGGCATAAATAATATCTAAACTTTACGGTCATATATCTGACTATTTATTAAAAAAAATCAGATGATTTTATAATAAAACTCTATATGAGTTACACAAATATGAAAAAACCACAACAAACAGAATATAGAAATAGAACTATTCCCAATAAAATACAATGAAATCAAATCACACACTCTCCAGATTTTTACCAAACATTACAGAAAACAACAAATCAGAAAAGATTAAAATGACTGATTCACTCTCTAACACTGACCACAGCTTCAACTCTGCCAGGTGGCAGATTAATGAGCTGAGACAGAGTGGAACATGCTGGTTCCACGTGGGTCTTTTAGCAACTAATACCTATTCAGTCTTTGGAGTTAGTTTAACCAGTCAGAAGCTTTGGTAATGTTGGGATAGTGACTTGTGGTTTAATGGTGAGACTGGAGTCCGACACTGTGTTTAAGGCAGATTAGACACATCAGAATTATTTGCTGTTGCGAGGAAATCCCAAACATTTAAAACGTGCAGAACAACACATCGGTGCCTCTTTAACGTTTTTTCCAGTACAAATGAAAGAAAAACAACTGAAATCATTCATTTCTCGTCACAAAATGCTGCAGCCTGATGCTTCACTGACCTCATCACTTAAGATTTTTTGCATCAATTCACTTAATTGTTGTTCATGTTCTTCCTGTAGTTCTTCCTTGTCCTCCTCAGTTTTTGCGTTCCTCATTCGTTTTTCATGTTTTTCCACTAGATATTTGATCTTTCTCAGGTTTTCGCTCTTCTTGGTCACACGTTTCACTAAGTCGTTCATTTCCTTCACGTGTTCTTCCCGCTGAGCATTTAATTCATCCATGTGTTTCTTTTGGGATTCGTTGAACTCTTCTGCTTTCTGTCTGGCTTTTCTTTCATAGCTCTTCTTTAGGTCCTCCAGTGTTTTCTGATGATTGTTCTCTGTTATTTCCATTTCTCTTCTTATTTGTTCCTCTTGTAATTTGTTGTTTTCGTATTTTATTTTTTCTTGTTTGTAACTTTCCAGCAGTTTGTCGATTCTTTCTTCCTCCTCCTGTCGTCTCTTTTCATCTTCTTGTCTTTGTTTCTCTCGCTCTTCTCTTCGTTCTTTCTCCCAGGCTTCTTGTTTTCGTTGCATCTCTTCTCTGGTCTCTTCCAGCTGTCTGTCGACACTTTCCTTTGCCTCTTTTTCCAAATGAATTTGTCTGTCCAACTTTTCAAGTTCTTCTTTGAATTGTTGTCGATATCTTTCTTCTCCAGTGTCCTTTTCCTTTTCCTTCTTTTCTCTCATTTCTTCTTCTTTTTTTTTCTTCTCTTGTTCTTCCTTAATTTTATCCATCATTTCCTCGAGTTCTTCAGCTTTCTGTTTTCTCTCATTTTCTGATTTTTCTCTCTCTTCTGCCAATCTTCTTTTCATTGCTTTCATTTCTTGCTCATGTTTTCTTTCAATCTCTTCCTTTTCCATCTGCATCTCTTCTTCCTTCTCCTTCAGGATCCTCAGCATTTCCTTCTTTATTGCTGCATCAGCCTCTTGCAGCATCTCATTGGTGTAGAAGCTTCCTCCATTGTCCTTCATCATGGTGTCAATCTTTTTTATCAGCTCACTGACTTGTGTGCGGTTTTGGTTGTCAGAGTTATTGAACACATGGTATCTTCCTCCACAGTTAGAGATCATCGTCTGAAAAGAACCGTGACATTTGCTCTTGATGTAATCATCAATAGACTCTCTCTGGCGCTCCAGATCGTCTCCTCTGGTTAAAAGAACGATGGTGAACTTTTCAGAATCCTTCCCAAAGAATTTTTTAATAAGCCTCATCGTTTGCTTCTGCTCTTCTGTGAACCTGCCAACCTGTATCACCACCAAGAAGACATGTGGTCCTGGAGCCAGGAGACTGACACATTTCACCAGCTCCCCATGAACTTCTTCATTGGTCAGAGCTGTGTCAAACAGACCAGGAGTGTCGACCACAACAACAGGACGACCGTCCACCTCACCCTCTGCCTTCTTACAACATGCTGTGACAGACATTTGACTTGATGCAGCTTTAAACTCGTCTCTTCCTAAAATGGTGTTTCCTGTAGAGCTCTTTCCACAGCCGGTCTTCCCAATCAGCACAATCCTGAGACAGTCTGAGTCCTGTTCTCCAACTTCACCACCTAAAACATGAAAATTGGAGTTA